TTGAAAAATGTCTATCGTTGTATGTCAACTTTTCAACCTAAATGTTTAAAGAAGAGGTCAGGTGATGTCATATACAGTGAGAATATATAAAGTTTGCCATCCGATTTTATTTGACATTAGAATTGTGACTCCCAATTGTGTCCCTTGGTTACTGTTCAAATGAGTGAATTGCCTTTAATAAATAATTACGGGAATTGGAAAGATTAATTGAGTTCCTCACAAGGTTAGCGTTGTTAGACGGTAGGCATTATTAAATAGATAATACATTACAGCTCTGAATCTCTAGTGCATAATGGTTGTACTATAGAGGAAAACGTATGATTACTTTCAATCTTAATTTAATTGATGAGATATTTAATCAGTTAAAACCTGTTATGAGAAATTCCCCCAAAAATCAGGAGCGAAAGTCAACCAAAATTTCAGCTTCTTCAGGCAATTTTTTAATGAGTAAAAATGTTGAAATATGCTATTTGAATATTCCGACTAATTCCCGCTAAAATATCCCTGGAAGCATGAATATTAGCATGATTAACTGATGCATTCAATATAATCTGTAGTCGCTTGATACCGCGCAATTTTATTAAGTTCAAACAGTTAAATTATTCAATGTACTATACAATTACATCGTATTTTAACTAACGTTGGCCTCAAAGTAATAGGGCCTTTTAAATAAGCTGACCTCTCCTCTCTGAGCTTACAAGGTTCCATCATCCCAGCAGTCCTTATAGAGTTCAAATGGCTTCCCTTATAACCGCTTATTACGCACTATCTATCCTCGCAAAGGTCACCTCTGTATTGCATCATTGCATTCGGGGCACTCATACTCTAGTACTTTAAGTATATAGATTTTTTGGTAGAACAGCATACATCACACAGCACACCATTAGGAACGAGTGCCAACTCCACAATTATGTGGACTACCTATTTCTTACCTGAGACAACGGCTGTACTGGGAAAAACGAAGGACCTGATTTGCCAACCACTTCAAATCGACATTTTGTCTAGTGAGTGCTTCGGCCTCAGAGATTCTTCTTAAAATAACGATAGGTCCAGTAGGCATGGCAGCTACGTGGAAATAGAGGCTCACAGTTCCCCAATCATGCGAAGTCTTGAGTGTAACTCAAAACAAGCACCTACCCATTTTAATCATTTGGCCCTAAATGGCTTGGACAAGTCAAAGAGGGTTCCTAAAACCATGATGCATGGATATAGAAGTATTTTGATCCCAACGAATAAAACTTTGGCTTTACACTAACCTGCTCCTCCTCAAATACAGCCAGTTTTATCATTAATGCCGTGTCCTCTATTTTTATTCGACTTTAAGCCTTTGCCTGTCATATGAATAATCCTTAAATGTGCAGTCTTTCTATCTTAGATATCTGAAGAAAAATCTGGATGTAAGTCTGCATGTAATATTATTCAAATTCTACAGGAAACCTTTTCGAATAGTCAAAATGAAAGGTTCTTACTTTCTTAACAGCACGTCTCTTATTTAAAAAGCATATTTACATCGTTATTGAATAGCATATAATGGAGAAGACATGGAGGAATAAGAAGACATAGAAGAGAGGAGTGGCTGTCTTGTATCAAAACTAAACTCTAGGAGAGGCCAAAAATCGTCTAGCCAGTCGATTAAACCAGAGAATCCGGTCAAGCTATGCAAGAGACGACGTCGCGTGGAATCAAGCCAGGCTTCTAGCATCCAATAGACTTGGCGATGCAAGCTTACGAAATTGCGACCACTGTCAGAATGCCGAAGATTAAGATCAATCCAAGTGTTTACGGCTCGCTTGAGAAGCAATAAATCTAACGAGCTGAGCAAATCTCGATTTGCAATAAACTGGCCATGTCCGGAGGAGACGGCCGTTAAGCCAGTGTGAGAGGCGTCAAAAAGCCAGGGACTTGATAATAGACCACGAGCAACCATGATTCCTGAAATAAAAGGCATTTAGGAAAAGTGGCATATAAAGTTGTAAAGTTGTAATGCAGTTTCATGGAGATGTGTGCATGCGTCCATATGTATGCCCTATACAAATCGCACAATTTCAGGAGTAAGGATTTCAAGTGTAAAGCATCGCAAATTCTGTAAAAGAAATGTTAACCCAAGATTATCTAACGACTTAGCATCTAGGGAAGATGTCCTAGGGAAAAAGCAACTGGAATGTGAGACTAGGCTACATATGCTGGGTCGTGGGTTTGAAAAGTTTGCAGTAGCAAACCGTATTTTAAGACATTGAAGCCGACACAGTAACATCTAGATGTGCCCCAAATATGAGTCATACATCATAAATATTAGGCTCCTGTTCAAGATTAATTTATTAAACCGTGAGTACGAAGACCAAGATAGCACGGCCATAGATTCGATGAGTCTCCTTAAGTTGTACAGTATTGAATTCACCTTGTCTCTGTAACTTAGTCGGAGTGATGGCGATACCTTGTGGAACATACCTAGTCCTGCATCTTCTACCATAGTATTCAAGATAATTTCCAGCATCTGACCTCTGATTTAGTGCATTACCAGAGATTTCGCCAGTATCGTCAATGATAGATTCCATCCTTTAAACAGAGTTGCAATTTATCAGTGTCAAATAAAGGCAAACCGTTGCAAAATTATTTTCTCAAGCGCTATGGAAATAATTAAAACTAATTATAGCGATGCAAAAGGCTACAAGTAAAATAACAAACAATATGCTAAGCCAGAATTCCTAATTGTCATTTTGAAAGCTTCGAAAAGCTCGCAAAATAAGGCTATTTAAAGCTAATATTTGAGAAGGATCCTACGGGTCATAAGCCTTTTTATAAAAATAAACAGCGCAAAGGAAAGAACGGATCGTACAAACTAAATGTATTTAGTGATCAGGAAGTCCAAGGAGAAAAGAAACACTCCGCTTAAAGTTCAAATATATATTAAAGATACTATTTGGCAGTCATGAAACGGATCGATGTACATTAAAAAATTCAACCAATTTTGGATCAGAGACGCTCAGGTATCACTCCTTCTTCAGCCTAAATGGTGCCTCTTAAATGGATTATTTAAGCAATTTTCGCTTGTCACACAGGTTTGGCGCATAATTTAGTAATCATTACCTTGTTTGGGCAGGAAACACAAGACTTTAGCACTCCATGTCTCGAGAGGTGCAACCAAATCTCCAAAGCCATGACCATGCTTCAACTCCCCTTCCCGAGCCTTGGCGACATTCATGCTATTTTTGACGTTATTCTTCCACTTTCAGTCCTATGGTACAACATACCTCGTTTAGCTGAACATCGTCCGTCCCCAAACAGGGAGTACCCTTTCAATAAACCTCTTTGAAGTCAGTGATACCATCCAAGCACGCAAACAGCTACGCAATGCAACCTCGGCTATTGGATAAGAACTTGAGATAAGGAGCATTCTTTTTCATTTCCAAGACAGCGTACCACAAAGGCGTCGTCAGTTATGCTCCACAATTGCCTTATTAATGGCAAATCTCGACAAAATATCGTAGTTGCAGATAATTATTTCAATGCCCAATCTTGTATACCTTCTTCCATAAGGCCCCAAGGATATCCAATGAAATCTACTAACAGCAATTACATAAATACTTATTGACTATGACTTGGAAGCAAATTAGTAATAATTTAAAAACAGTATTAAATAGTGAATTTTGGTAATATGATGAAGATATGCAATCGCAGGAATAAGAAATTGAGCCTACGAAACTATGAGTCAGAGCAAATAAATGCTCATAAATTAATACTCATCCAAGGCAAATATATAGCTATTGGTAAATTGGAGATAAACTAAAATACCTTGACAGCCAGTCATACTCCAGGCGCGATCAGCATCGGCCATAGACTGGATATCGCCGTTAAGGATGATGGGGAGAGGGCAGCCAGTGGCCAAATGGGAAGCTGAGCCGCGGCCAGCGGCAATGACTTCGGAAAGGAGATGATGCAAGGCAGGCTGGCTACTGCGCTGGCTGGATGTCCGACAGTGAACCGTGACCCAGTCCACTCCCATGCAGGCCAAGCGGCGAATAATCTCAACGGTGGAAGAAATGATATCCTAAGATGTAGGAAGTAAATAAGCAAAGAATAGCCGACTGATAGATAATGGGCATGCCGTGATTTTTTTAGTTTCGAGTGGCTCTTCGAGAAGGCCAGTAAATCAAAGTAAGATGTTTTACCCTATTTCGTTCAAGATGAAGGGCTGGTAGTTGAAAATTCCAACACTGGCATAAATATACCTTAAATTTGATTTTCATTTTACATAGCCTTGCTTTCCCAAAAGGTGTTTTCATCCAGGCTGAAGTGGACTGCAGTTTCAACCTTGCCTGGGTCTCATAAGCTCCCCCAGCATGGTTTAAACGATGAAAGTACAGCGCATAATCTTGACACGTTAACCAATAGGCCAAAGTGCAACGAGTGCTCTTGGGCCACAGGGCAGATTTGAATTTCAAGGCCAGACATTTTCCCATAGTCATGGCGAATTCTAAACTGCAGTCTACTCTGGATAAGAATACCTCTTGGGAAAACAAGGATATGCAAATTTCAATGGAAACGTAAGGTCTACTCATATCATAATGGAAAAATTGAACTAGCAGCCCTTTATAACTTGAAACGAAACAAGCACACATATATGCCGTTACTTAGACCCTCTAACTCACACTCATCATAGTAATACACTACATTCATAATCATTACAATTATCGCGTCGGGCACACCTGTGTTATGATAACATTCATAAATGTGTGCCCCAATCTCATATGCTTCTCCCTCTCTTTTCTGCATCCGCCACGGTATAAACCGGTCAGCCATTCGTTTAGGGTAACTTGCGTTCAACTAGCGTCTGTCTCACACAAGGCCTGCTAGCGACAGTTTGTTTTCTGCATCTGTAGGACGACCATTACCCCGCAGAACTGCCGCCTTGCCACAGGGCCGACTTCAAATAAATGCCACCTATCAACGTTGAGCCTCCGCATTATCCTGTAAATGGCGTGTTCAGATGAGCATCACAACTGGAGCATTCTCTATTATTTGCCTTGCTCAATCTTCTCCAGCCATCCTTCTGCTCTTTAAAATGGACACGCATTCAACCAATTAGTTTTATACTACCTCTGACTTTTAAACAAGTTCAACAAATTCTTCAGCCTCATCTTTCTTTTAGATCGCAGGACAGATCTCAAGGTAAAGATCGAATTTAACCTGGATACGGGATAATAACAGGCCCATTAGTGCTGATCGGAATGGTAGTGTGTCACCAGTTTACGCTCATGAGCCGATTTAGAATCCCGCTAAGGTGCTAATAAAAAATAAGAGGCGAGGAAATTGCAGCTAACCCTGGGAGAGAACGCCTTTTAAGAAACAAGGTGATGCGAAGTTTAATGACAGTGTATCCCTACAAGAAAATATAGATATCAATCCTACATCACCTTATGTAAACTAAAATAACTAAAAGTCTAATTCTCAAAATTACTGAAGATCAATCACTTTCTCACCAGAATGATATAAGCCCATCAATAGATTGGCCAGGCTACACTTCATTACAAAAAGCTGAGTCAACCGTCCTACATTAATATAAAGCTGACCTTCACATCCGGCAAATAATTTAATAGTGAATAATACTATTGGGATAAATTTCTCCATGAATTT